GTTAATTATGTAAGAAAACTCAGCTCTCCTCCCAGTGAGTGACAATGTGGCTCATCACCAAATCCTGGCAGAGCAGACAGCTGCCGGTGCCGCTCTGCCCGGGCTACTTTGGGATTTTAAAGCCTTTTCGAAGGAGCCGGCGGGGAGCGGGCGCTGGACACGGGTGCGCGGAGTCGTCGCCCGCTCCGTCCAGCTCCAGCTTTTCTTAACCAAAACCTGGACTTCGGCGTTCGCCGGCAACGAAGTGACACTGGAGTGGGGGGGACCTGAGGAGGGCGGGCTTTCCCCCTTGATCTATGGAGCACGCCCCTTTTTAAACTGAGTCCCGGCGGCTCTCGTCCACCAGCCCGACGTGGGGAGAGGCGGAAAGCGAAGGAGAGCAGGCAGGCAAGCGGGCGGGCGGCGGCTCCCCTGTCCCGGCCCGTCGGTCCCGACCCCGGCCCGTCCGCCCCCGCGCACCATGCGCGGCCCCCGGCGCCCCGCGCGCCGCCGGCCCGCCCGCCCCTAACGCCGCCCGGCTCCTGCGCCTTCCCGCGGCAGCGCTCCGGGGGCCGGGAGGGGGGCCACGAGAAAGGAGAAGAGGAAAAAAAAAAAATAAGAGTGGGAAAGGGGGGAAAAAGGAGGAGAAGAAGCGGAGGCGGGGAAGGCTGCTCCTCCGAGGACAGCGCGCAGCACCATGCAGCTGGCGCCGCTGGCGCTGGCACTCACCACGCTCTTCATCGACGGCTTGAGGACGGGAGCGAGGAGGCAGAAGCTGCACCCCAGGCAAGGTAAGGGGGTGCTCGGGGAGGGGCGCGGGGAGTGCTGCGCTGCCGCCGCCCGGGGCCGCGGGGCTCGGCCGCCTCACTCAGCGGCATATGCGTCTGTCCCCTCGCAGCCCAGCTGCTGGAGAAGCTCAGCGAGTACGAGATCGTGACTCCTACCCGAGTGAATGAGTTCGGTGAGCCCTTCCCCACCGATGTCCACTTCAGGCGGCGCCGGCGGAGCACCAGTGCTGCCCCCGACGCCTGGACGGCGGCCGCCGCCTCCTCCCCGAAGGCACACTACAGGCTGTCCGCCTTCGGGCAGCAGTTCCTCTTCAACCTGACGGCCAGCTCGGCCTTCATCGCCCCGCTCTTCACCGTCAGCCTCCTGGGAGAGCCCGCCGCAGACCAGCGGCGCCTCTACGCCGAGGCGGCCGACGCCGACGTGAAGCACTGCTTCTACCGGGGCCACGTCAACGCCCGGCCTCGGCTCACCGCCGTTATCAGCCTCTGCTCCGGGATGGTGAGACCCGCGCCCCGGCCGCCGGCCCGGCCCCGCCCCGCTGAGGACCAGGGGCGGAAGCGCGGAGGAGGAGCGGGAGGAGCGGGGCCAGGGAGGCCGGGCCGGCGGAGCGATGGGGCCGCCCCTTCCCCTCGCCGCGGCGGGCGGCTCCGGCCCGCCCCGGCCGGGGCTTTCTCCCACGCCGCTCTTAATCGCTCGGCTTCCTGGGTGCGCCTCTCCCGCTCCGCGCGTCTTGGGGAAAAAGTGCCACCCACCGACACCCGGGCGGGCGGTCCGCGGGCCAGACACGGGCACGGACCCCCGCCTCTCCCCGGGGGTGCCCGTGGCTGCGGGCTTACCACCAGCGCTGACCCCGGAGCCACCCAGCACCTCGGACCAGGGGCATGTCCCAGTCCCTGGTACCCCAGCTGGGTGCTCTTCGCTGCAGGGATGTTGGCACCGGGATGAGCAGAAGCTCTTAAAAGGGCTGACTCTTCTGTCTGTCTTTCCGTCCCACGGGGTGCCAATCCCGGGGTCTCCCCGGAGGTTTCTGCTGGCTTCATTCGGTCCACGAGTTCCTCTGGGTGCATGTGTTCACATCAGCTTGGGCACAGCACATGTGTGTGACTTCCCTCCTGGGTAGTGGCCATGGATGCCAGTATGGGATGGCTGCGGAATGTTTTGTCTTGGATATTTTATTTACCCGCCAAATACCTGCATTCACGGTTGTATGCAAGTAGGAGTGTTGATGTCTTTTCATAAGCAGTGACTTCACTAGCTGGACACCTTCCTCTGATCCTCATATGTGGGTTAAAAGCCTGTCTCAGGGAGACATGCTGCGTGAAACCAGCACATGATGGGGTTGCACTGGGGCCTCCTGCACACAGCAGCACCATCACTCTTCGGGCAGGACAGGCTTAATAATCATCACTGGCATAAGGACAGGGTCTGGCAGACCTGCCCCCATGCTCCCTGCCTGTGGGTTAGTAATTAGCCCTCTGTCAGCACCAGTGGGATGGCTGTGCAGCCCAGGGTGGGTGCAAGGAATGTGACTGAAGATGGAGCTCCAGCTGGTGCCTTCAATGGGTTACCACAGAACTAGGCACACCTCCCTCATTAGCTGCTTGCCAGTGCTGCTGGGTGGCTTGTCATCGCGCAAAGCTGACCTCCTGTTCCTCTCTCTGGTCCCTCTCAGCTAGGCACATTCAAGTCTGATGATGGGGACTATTTTGTAGAGCCACTCCTATCGCTTGAGGAACAGGAGTATGAAGAAGAGCACAATAAACCACATCTTGTCTACCGGCACCGGACATCTCCAACCAACTCTTCAGGGGACGGGCAGACTTGTGATACTCCAGGTACTCATTTTGTTACTGCCTTGAATGACTTGATGCTTGGAAGTGCTATTTGCAGTTAAAAGGCAGTAGGTTTGTATGGGAAAGAAGGGATGTGAAGTCGAGGGACCCCTCTAGAAATAGTGCTGTGAGTGCTAGGACTGGGCTTGTGGCAGTAATGCTGTCCTGGAGAGATGTGGTGCACCCGTGCTTCCTAGGAATTGATTATAAGGAAGTTGCGGTCAGAAAAAGTGTTGCAGTTTCCCTTTGATTCCTGATGTAAAGCTGGCAAGAGAACTCTTGGTCTGTCTTGCCTTAAGTATCCTGTAAGCCTTTAAACTTGTTTTCTCTTCTCTCCTACATGTAATTCCCAACCATCCTAATCTGTTATTCTTTCTGTCTGATACTTTGTCCTTGAAATGACATCCTCTGTCTTGGTCTTGCTGTGCTCCTGGTCGTCCCTCCCCAAATCTGACTGTGAGTTGCCACATCTTACCTCTTTCTAGTGGAAATGAGGAGGTTCTAACACCAACCCTGACAGTTCTTCCCTTACTAATCACTTTTCCATGGTTCATCAAAGGCTTTTTTTTTTTTTCCTCATGGCCCTTCCTCCACCAGCACCATCTCCCTGACCTCCTCACTCCTGCTTTCTAGTCCTTGCACATATGAAAGAGCACAAGCTTTTTTCTCTCCCCCTTCATGTGTCTTGATGAGCAATAGCCTTGCTCCTACTGTCCCTATTATCTGCAGTGGCCTCCTGCTGCTCTCTGCTTCCTTGACTTCCTGATGTTCACAACTAATCCTCCCCTTTGGCAGCAAATACCTAAATTTTCTCTGAAGAAGCTTATTCCTTCGGTCTCCTGTTTCACCTGCTGTTTTTCCCTCCTCCTTTGGCCTGCAGCTAGATCTGCAGAAACTTTAAAGCTTAAACAGAGTAGACCTTGACTGGGTTCCCTTGTGGGCTGCAAGCTGCTCATATGATGCAAAGTAGGTGGAGTTGCTCAGGAAGTAAAGGTATCACTGGAGGAGAAGTATGGGGCCCAAATTAGGCTGCAATTAGCACGTGTTTGGCGCCCATGACTTTGATTGTGGCTGTGCTGTTCAGCTGTCAGTCTGTTCAGCTTGTACTAATCATGCTAAGTCCAAAGATGCTCTGATACTCTGTGACCACCAGAGCAATGTGTGTTTCTTCTAGAAGACATGTGAATCCACGTCCACATGCAAACGTATGTGCCAGGGGTACAGTGGCACCTCTCACAAGGCTGTCATTGATTGTTCTTCCAAGGGCTGCTGCTGGAATATGCCATTCTGGTTTCTCTCTTCCAGCTGTTTCTGCTCCCTTCTTTGAGATCAGATGCAGGAGACTCAGAACAGTTGGAAAGAAACACGGAATCTGGCACATTGCATCAGTAACCCTTGGAGGAACGGAGCAGCAGATCACAGGACTCATTGAATCAAAGGTAGCTGGGAGGGCTCTGAATTTTGCTTGTGGACTTGACTCTTGTGCTGCTGTAACAGACTGCTGCATTTCACCCCACTGTATCATAGTTCCCATTATTCTTCTGTATTATAATTCACAAGAATAATACTCCATCTGTGATTTTACCAATGTGGTGTATATCTCTTCCTCCTTTGTTCTAGTATGCTTTGCTTCTTGCTTGCCTTTGTTTCCTTGCTCTTCTCAGTTGCTTCATCTAGTAGAGGAAGGAGTTCTTACCTCGCAAACACACGCTGAAGTGTTCCAGATAGACATGAGAGTCTTATTTGACTTCCTCTCCTCTTTCCCTCCACCTCCTCCTGTTTACCGTCTGTTCTTTTTGTCATCGTCCAAGCTTTTGAAAGGTGCTATCCTTTGAAAGGTGCTGTTCTGCTCTGGCTGTACATGTATGGTGAACATGTCTTGGTTATTTCATTTAAGGAGCAAGTTCAGAGCAGTTTAGGCAATGCTGAATCCTGGCATCCCTACCTGAGGTTACATCTGGTGAGAGAAGGTGTCTCGCATGTCTTTGCAGCAGAGGTGAACATGTGAAATCTAGCATCACTCACTGTTTTAGACAAGGTGTGTCTCTCACTCCTACCAGAGAAGAATGGTTTCATGAGAGTTTGGGAGTTAGTCATAGTTGTAGGGTGTTGTGTGAATCCAGTCTTTTGTCAGAAGAACATGTGAAACTGTGCATTTGGTTTGCAGGCTTCTGGCAGGGGTGGAAATTTGCTTGAAGAGGAAATTCATGTGAGGGAAATCTAAGGTACCCCATGTTGCCAGGCAGTTGTGCTATTAAGAATGACTTTCTGATTGTCATCTTCCTGGAAATGATTAATAAGCAACATATTGGTGTGCCCTTGCCATAATGATGTAATTTTAGACTTCTTGAGGTATTCAGGAAAGTTTCCCTTGTGAATTGACTAACAGATTGTGTAAAAGCTTTTATTTGCGGCAGTCTCCCTGGTCTTACTTTTAGTTTTCAGCATCCTGAGGTCAGCTTAGAAAACCAGGTATTTGCTTTTGTTAAGTTTTAATTAGAAGTTTCTAATAACAGTTTTAGGTCCTGACATAAAAGATACTCTGCAGGTGTTCTGGAAAAAGATCTTTTTCCTCTGAATGCTGATGGATATCAAATGGAAGCTGTGCTCTGCAGATGAACTTTCATAGCACAGCATTGGGGTCTCTGGCAATGCATTTCAGCCGTCTGGCATACAGCTCAGCCGCCACAAGAAAAGCTTTGGACAGTTTTCCTTGGGGTAACAGGTTAATGTAGTTTCAGTTGGAGGAAATGGTGCATTTTCCTCTCCTTCTTTTCTTTTAGTTAGTGCCGTGAATCAGTTTGTCATCTGGCTGGGGATCTGGCAGAATAATTTGTGCTTTTCTGAATAGCCCTGATGGGATGAGGACTTGGCCAGGCTGACAGCATGATGTCACTGTAGGTGCAGCACCACTACCACCCATCGCTTCAGGATAGCAAGCTCTTCCGACCCAATTATTAAAATATCCGCTTTCTTGAGGTGGAGGAGGAAGAGAAAAGAAATTGCAATCCTAAAAAAAGAAAAAAAGGAAGTGGCTCATTGCAAGGCCGGAGAGCTCAGCTTTCCTGCGCCCCACGGAGGAACAATCTGACTCCAGTGATAAAGGCGCGGAGCTGCATCCTGCGTCAGCGTGCAGCCGCTTTCGTGAGGCCAGCAGCACCTCTCCCCAAGCCCCCATCCAGTGGGACCTTCTGCCAGGAGCAGACCTGTGAGCCCTTTCCATGTGAAACCCTCAAGGTTTGGTCTTGCAGAGAGATGTCCAGCTCCAGATGCCAATAGGACACAGCCTTTGGTCATCACTTAAATAAACCACTTCAGGCTGCCCCTTGCTCTGGGTTTTATGTCTATTTCTGCTGCTTCTCCTTTCTATCACATTTCCCATGTTTTTTTGCCACTGATGTGTATATAT